CTTTCATGAGTTTAGCATCATGGGCATTACCTTTGCTCTCATGTTCAGCAGGAGTAATAGTTGATGGTTCTGAATTTTCACATGAGGCTGTGAGCATCTCATTTTCTGTCACGTCATCCTCACTCTTTTTGTACATTGTCCTGCAAAAGGTTAGCATAGCAGGAGGAATAACAAAAGATTGATCTAGTTGATGCACCTCATCATTTGAATTAATTACAAGAGATGGATTAACAAAATTTTCTCTCATAAGATCTTTCATATCATTCCATATGTGAGGTTTATCTGAAAAACTTAAAGACTCCCACCAAGTTGATGCAGATTGTCTCAAAACACTAGTTGTATTTTTAATTTTCCTCCGTTCGCACATATAACTTTATGCAAAAATATTATCTATTTTAGTTTTCCACTCAATGTACTCATCAACACCAATACCATCATTAGTAGACGGGGAAGAAAGAATAGATTGACCTTTGGGAGGAGGTGTAGCAGCAATAATGCGTGGCTCATGCATCATTGATGTCTCATATCGGTACGTGTTGTAACCTATCATTGTTAGCATCAAACAAGAAAACACACAAGTATGCATTTTCCTATCAGCTACTATAGGATGTGGTCAAGGAGTAAAGCCACACACTCTCAAGCGTCTTATCACGTTCTTACAAGTGTTCTTACCAACGCAGCAGGCGGTGCAATCGGTCGGTGACTGTGATACCGTTGTAGCTTGAGTGTAACAGTTGTAAGGCGAACCTATACTTGATCAGAAGAAAGTGAAGCTTGAGAGGCTTAAAATATAGTAGCAAGGAATAGTAATAATTTAATTCAGAAATTACAAAACTGAAAAGTAGTCCAAGCTAGTCTATATCGTCGGCCTAAGCTTGTCCTAGACTTAGTTCAGGCAAGCGACAATACAAGGACTCAAAAGGATGCAAGCACCGTTGAATTTTTTTTCACACTTTTTTTCTCCTTTTCTTTTTTTTTCTCTCTTTTTTTATTAGGTGTGGCTCTTTTTTTTTTGTGCACCACTTTGCCTTTTACTCTTTCCTTTTTCTTTTGAATTCTCGGAAAAGTGCCGCAATAGATTAATACAAATCAATACATAAGCCAACTCATGAGAAAAAAAATAGTGATGAAGAACAATCGTGATTCAGGATAATGGCCTAGGCGTAGACACGCCCTGACAGATTCTCGGGTGATAATTTTCGTTCCGTTTTAATGCACCAAACAATTGGAAATTGGCCAAAGGAATATGTGACTGGACGAGCAACAAAAACTGTTGCAGGGAACTTTCCTTTTCCTTCTGATCGGCACAAGGAAAATCTGAATTAGATAGATGCCCAAAAGGGTCACCTAACCAGCAATAACTTGGACGTATTTCTTTTCCAAAGGAAACAAACACTGTACAATTAATGCTTTCCTTTCTTTTTCAACTTGCGCAAGAATTAACCTCCACCGAGCGTACTCAACAATAGACTTTCTATTTGCTGCTGTGAAAGACACCAATCAGGAGGACGCAAACTCACGCAACCCAAACAAAGAACAAGACCTAAGCACGACGAACTCAGAGACAAAACAAGGGTCTAAAATTTAGAAAAGCAAACGGAATTTAAAAAATTGCAGCGGCACAAAGGGGCGGTAAGATGAGGAATATGTGGTGGTGTATATAGTTTTTTTGGCTTTTCGTGGACTAGGTAATGCAAAAACAGATTTAGTCTAAAGGAAAAAACAGAGATATACTAAACGGGCAATTAGTGCTTTGATACCACTGGATGTAGATAAGGTCCGATCATCCGATAGGTATGATACCTTCGATTGGTGGAGAACTCGACGTTCACGATCTAGACTTCGAACCAAGTTTGATTCGAACCCCTACAATCGTTACACCACTGCTCCATTGGTTATTAACCACGCACAATATGATTGACCTCACCGAGAAGGCTTTCATGCAAGTGAATCGAGAACACAAGCAAGAACGGATAAACGTAATCTAAAATTGCAAATAAATATGGGGCTTATGATAACAAAAAGGAGTTCAAGTCTTTATTCAAAGGGACTAATCGCCACAGGGGAACAAGATCAAGAACAGGGGCCCTGGTTTAACAGCAAACGATCTTGGCGATACAGTTGCAGCAAACGATGTCTGTTTCACTTGAAAAACAAGAACGCAACAAAACCCCAACCCTAACGAGAGCGACGGCCGCTAATTATAGATCCTTGGACGTCACCCCCTAGACGCGTCCCCTAATGGGCTCTAAGACGATACACGGCCCAATGGACCAAAAGGCGGTGTCACAACACCCTGACAGATTCTGGATGCTGACTTGTTTTGATGATTCCCGTTGACTCCCGATGAGTTTTGACGTGAAACCAAAGTCATTGGTTAGCTTATCAAATATCTTTCCATCCATATGTGGATCATCGAAAATGGAGTCCGTATGCGCCCTGGGCATTGATTTTACTCAGGACTGCTCCTAGATTCCGAGGTAGACTCGAATTTGATTTGGGTCTCCATCTTGGTGACTCGAACCGGATAAGCTTCGGGCCTCCTTCTCGATTTGGACACCCTTGCTGATCTCCTTGGTATCCATATGGTTCTCAACCATGGTCATATGAATGGAGGTCATGTCCTCATCAACACGTCTCTACTTGACCTTCTCCATGCCTGTCGACCATCTCTATGTCCACACCTGCACACCAACATAGCCAAAAGACATGTTGCACACGCACACAATGGTTAGTCTTCAAACTCAACCAAATCCTTAATCATCTCCTGACAATCACTCATCACAAACTCGACCCACAAGGTCATATATCAACCTTGTGTTCGCAAACAGAGTGCACATTAGGTTTTAGGATAGGTAGCCATGCTATAAAGAGGGGGAGCTCTAAAGTAATTGTGGCTGTCTAGTGTCACTTGGTGAGGACTAACAATGCATGTGCATTAGATCAAGTGACGTGATGAGAAGCAAGTGAAAATATTTTTGAAAATCATTTAAAAATGCTAACTCGGTGCTCAAAGGTAAGTGTGTGTTTGGTTTGGGAATGACGTGAGATAGGATGGTTCTATTGATGTTTTTTAGGATGGGATCGGTTGTGGAGATAGGTTTGTCCCTGTCTTTTGTTTGGTAGTAGGGATTAATTGAAAGGGATGTGGATGATTATGTTTTTAACATCGTGAGCAACAATTACTATCATGCCCTTGCTTTCATAGGTTGTGTGCTTGTCTTTCATAGTCTAGCTTTGCTAGGTTAGATATGATAAGATTGGAATTTAGGTTGTATAACTCTACATTAGAGATAACAACACTTAATAAAACCGTAGTGTACATCTGGATAGAAATCTTGTATAGGTTTTGATAAGTAGACAATAGAGACCAAGTTTAATTTTAAGTTGCCTAATTCACTTCTCTCTTGAACATTGCGGTACCTTCAAGTGTGTTTCGATCATAGGCATGTTTCGAGTCTGCTCGAGTAACCTCAGCCCTATCTATTGGAGCTCGCGGTTGGGTACAAGTGGCCATTTAAATTCTTACATTCATGATATGCGAGTGCTCCTGGTGATGTGCTAAAAAAAATATGGCAAGGCACTTTGGACGATTATGATTTTTGTTTTTTTTTTTTTGGGGGGGGGGGGGTCTAGTAGGGCTGAGCTGGACAGTTGGGTCATAAACTTTTGTGGTCAGTCTCCGCCTCTCCGTGTCCTCAAGAAGATGCCGTCGTCTCCGCGTTTGTAAGTCGTCTCCGCGTTCCCAATAACTTTTTCAAGGATGGTTCGAAGGCCTTGTCTTTCCCGTGTTACTCCACAATATATCTTGGCAGCATAAATTCTACGCTCCTGTTATTAGCTGCAACCGCAACGGTGTACTGCTAGCTACTAGTATCTCTACCTGCTGGGGCTGCTTGCATCGTAATCATCCATAGTTCCTGGTACATACCATGGTAAGTTCCATCCTTGAATATTCACAAAGTTAGTCTTTATTTCAAGGAGAGAGAGAGAGAGATGTAGTTTTGTGTTTTTCATATAGAGATAGCCAGCAAACAGAACATACACACACACACACACACACACACACACACACACACACATATATATATATATATATATATATGGTATGGTATGAAACACCTATTACTGCACAATGGCTTCTGGACACAACAGATTTAACTTACGTCGTTACGTTAGAGATACTAGTGGGTGCGAACAGCAGCTGCAGCTCCGTCGTGGCCACTGGCCTCCGGCGGGGATCGTCGGCGCGAACAACACCTGCAGCTCCGTCGTGGCCACTGGCCTGCTGATGGAGGGCGTCCAAGCTTGTTGTCGCTGAGATCCTTCTTCATAGTCACAGGCAGCTTGACAGGCGAAGAAGGCGTCCAGAACGGCCACGACGGGCGTCGGAGCTGCTTTGGACGATCGGAGATGGATTAACTGATTTGGACGATTTCCTCGTGTGTCCCATCCGCGTGCTACTAATTATTGTTTTCTTTTTCGATTCATCCATCGATCGAATGTTGATTGACGAGAAAAAGATAGGCTTTTCCCCTTCTGTAGTGGGCTGGTGGTCGAGCGTGGCCTCGTATTAGTTGCTTTTGTTTATTTTGAGTTGAGACAAATTAAAAAGTCGCCAAGGTTGCCCTGCCAATGTCCCCATCCATGGTGTCATGCAGATTCGTTGGAATGAATGAAAACCGCTTGGAACGTCAGCAAAAGGGGGCTTTAATGGTGGCATGATACAATAGCTTCATATCGCTGTTAAAAGTGTTCTCTGTCCGGTATGTTTAGTGTTTTCCTTTCCTTTATGCTGGTCGTCGTCTTGAGTTGCTTGAGGTAGTTGTTGGTAGTTCAGAGGTTATGTTTAGTTTGGTCGATGGCTGTAGTTGAGAGATTATTGACAACGCCAAAAGTGGCCAAAGTGTATAATGGATGCTCACTGCTTTCTTCATTGAATATTATATTAGGATGCTCTGAAGGATCGGGTGGGAGCTTTCACGGAGGGCATTCTGATCATGGCGTGCCCAGTGCTTGCGGCCGTTGCACTGAAGAAAGTGGACTTGAGGAGCCAGGGAGATGCTGCTGTCCGAGGTAGCGTCTCCCCGTTCTCGGCCGTCTGTTTGCTCCTGTGTTCACTGGCCTTCGTCGTCCTCGATATGGCAAGCGCGCTGAGAGCATGGTTACCACATCAGTTGATGTTCCGTGTCTCCAAGTTCCTAGTCCACCTTTGTGCGATTTTCCAGATGCTGCTCGCGTACATGATCTTGCTCCTCATCGCCATGAAGTTCGAAGCATCCATGGTCGTACTGGTCGTGTTCGGTCCATTCATCGTTTACTGCTGCTACCTGTCGGTGGTAAGGAGCGAGGAACAAAGCGAGAGGGCAGCCGATGAATGCGACAAGAACCTCGAGCCGTCGCTGGAATTCTCCGCCGCTGTGACCTCTCTCCTCTTCCTCGGGCTGGAAGGCTTGGCGTTGGAGGGCCAGACGGCCGGCGTCGGCCGGGACCTCGACCCTCGCCTTGTTGTGCCGCTCTGTTTGACCTTCGTCTTCTGCGTGATGGCCAGCGCTGTCATGCTCTTGGCGGCGGTCCCTCCCATTGACTACAACGAAGCGGAACAGTGCAGAAACATGTGCAAGTTTCTGCACTTCCTCGTGCGGCGCGCTAACTCTCTTCTTCACCGCGGTGGTGCTCACGATCGTCTTCGTACTCCACAGGGAGAATGGAGTCGCAGTGGCCGTTGTGCCAAGTCTTGGTCTATTTCTGTTCTACTCCGCATGTCTATGCGTCCCGGGGGGCAAGGAGCCGGTGGTCGGCAACCAAGTTACACCGCCGGCATCGCTGGAGATGACCAAGGTGACCTTTACGGCTTTCCTAGCCATCTCTTTGCCAAGCTTCGGTGGCTCGCTCAGCGGGTACACCCATGCCTTCATTGTCTGCACTGCCATGTCTGTGCTCTTTGGCCTCTCGTGGAGGTTCTTAACCCACTTCAAGCAAAGAGCGGCAGTCTGGACTGCCAAGGTTGCTTGTGTGCTCACCTACGGGTGCTTGGGGGCGGCTGCATTCCCGTTCGTGATTATGGCGACGCAAGCACTGGCTGATGCAGACGAGGAATGCCATATTCCCTGCAATCCGGGTCCTTCTGCACAGCTTCAGTTATTTATAGCGTGCTTCAACAAAAGAGCAAGAGAGACAACTTCATACGCACTTTCCAGTGTTAACTGTTAGTAGCTAGGACGAGTGATTAGCTTGTGTTTATTTACCTGCAGATTTGTAACCAGTTGTCCACTATCATTGTCCATTGATTTGTAACTTCATACGCACTTTCCAGTGTTAACTGTTTTTGCTGTTGCTAATAAAGGGTCTGGACAGTGGACGCCTACCTGTGTGTCGGTATGATCATGTAATCTTGTGTTTTGTCTCTTGAAGTCAGCAGCAGGTCAAAGCCGTTGGCTGGGAAAGGTTTCTGGTCTATACATGAGCCGGATTTTAGGCTTCTTACCATAGAATTTTTATGCTCTTTATTTAATTGCTATCTTCTCCTGCCGGGTTGCATTCAGGCTTTTCAGAAAAGAATACTTTCTTACCTGTAAAAATTTGAGCAAAGCATCTGGCTTGTAAGAGATGCAATGTTAATTTAGAAGAGGTTACACCTAGCTTCAATAAAGAAGATTTTTGGTATGCTATAACTGGACAATATCTGCATGTGAATATCGTAGGGCCAATGACATCATAATCGGTTGGCTATTACTCTGTTTCCTAGAGCTAGTGTAAGAACAATTAGAAACTAACAGGAAAAAATGCTTTGTTACGTAGCAGATAAGAAAAGGGAAAAAAAGAGAAACGGCAGTGCTAGCGCCCAGACGTTCGGACAGACACACGCGTCCGGATGCCGGCTCTTTGTACTCTGTTTCGCATGCCCACGTGGGGCTCACAGCCGTTCGAACGTCGCCCGCACCTCCTGACCCCACACGAAGACCGCTCGCGCCCCTTTACTTCCCCGCCCGAACGTCTGCCATGGCAGGTGGGTGTGGGTCCCAGCAGCAATACCCGATCTATTTTGAAATGTCCAGATGAAGCATTTGCAACATACGTTTGAAGACAAATAAAACACTTGAAACATGTGTCTGAAACACTTGCAAAAACACCTGAAAACACTTGAAAAGTCATTGAAAAATATATGCAACATCCAGATAAAACACTTGCAACATATGTGTGAAACATATGTAACATCCAGATAAACACAGTTGCAACATACGTTTGAAAAACAGATGAAACATTTGGAATAGACGCTTGCAACATACGTGTACAGCCATTGCAACATATGAAACTTCCCTATCTACTTTTGCAACATCCATGTGAAATACTTGCAACATACTTTTAAAACATCTGAAACACTCGAAAAATATGCTTGCAACATTCTTGATTAGCTTGGACGAATGGAGGCTCGGTGTAGGGCCGGCCGTGGATACCAGCAGCATGCCGGAGGTGGCACCAGTGGCGGCGATGTGTTGGCAGATATCCAACCCGACGAACGTGTGGAAGAGATGGAGGGAGGCGAAGCGAACGTGGAGGTAGCATGGCTGGCTGGGTGGAGGGCCACCAAGGATGGTTCACCACGGTTCCTGTCCTATGGTCGCGACGAGCAGGAAAAAGGGGGTAACAGCCGAAATTTGCTTGGCGAGCATGCACAAGGGGGACTACGAGTCTGAGGTGGCGTTGGTGGAGCCAGGAGTACGGCGCGAGAGGGCCAGAAGGAAGGAACCAACGGCGACCAGAGAGCTCCGAGCTCGGTCGGCCCTGTACGCGCACACAAGCAGCAACCATAGAGGGAGAAAGAGTGGCACGACGAGAGAAGAGGGGCTAGCACCGCATCTAGATCCAGTTGGGCAATTTCTCGTTCTCCCCTGTTTATTTGTGAGGTCCACCAGAATAGGAGCGTGAGAGAGAGAGGATCAGGGCAGACATATTGGGCTGCCTAGGTAGCCGCGTCTGGAGCGACGGACACCCTGAGGAGAGCATTACTGAAAGAGGAAAGAAAAGGTATGACACAGCATTGCAGGCAAAAAAACTATTTTTTACGTGCAGGTAAGGGAGGGGGAAAGAAGAAAGAAAAGGGTAAGACACAGTGTCGCACGGCTGGCTATAGGAACCAATGATGGACAGTGCATCGTTATAGTAAGAGACGACGTAGCCTTGCGAGAGAGCTGTAAATGGTGAACAGAAACATAGGTAATGGTTGGTGGTAGATGATGAGCAAGATTGTTATATGCTATGGTCAAGAAAATTCATGTTTCACCTGTTATATGCATGATCGCTCAGGTGGCAAGGTGTTTTATAGAGTTTGTGCAATAGAATGGACATCCCTTGTCACTAGAATTGCTAATGGACTTGATTTGTTGAAAAATGCTTTAGTTAATTCATTACACCCCAAGCTTAGCCTACAACAATGATGTGCGGGTATAGGGTAGCCTACGCCAAGTGAAAAAGAGTTCCTTTCCACGATGTGCGCCATGTGCTAAGTGTTGGGTGCTGTTCACGGTAGAGAACGACTTACCCTCTAATTGGAGGCAACCTACATCTCCCTATATATTCCAATGCAAGGGTTTACAAAGGAAAGCTCCAATTGGCTAGGTCAGCTTCCTAGTTTGTTATAAGAAACTATAATAGGATGGAGCCAGTTTATAATTATATCTTGCAATGTTTTTAAGTAGATGATTGTCGTGGGTTCGTAGCCGCGGCAATGTTTGGGTTGTTTGATGTGGGTCGATGTGTGTACCTCCAGTGGTTTAAGAACTCAAAACGCAAAGGATTTGTCCTGGTTCGAGCGTCTAGGTCCTACGTCCAGAGTAGTGGTGTTCTTCGTATTAGGAATGCACAATCGAGAGTTCTTACAATGGAGGAATCGAGAGTGAGGAGTAGGGGGAAGCGCTATACTTATATAGGGTTTCGTCGGGTTTGATCCCAGTCTAGTTGGGCCTCACGTCTATTGCTAAGTTCCGATTGATCAATCCTTCCCGTATATACCGGGGAGGTGATGGGAATACAAATCGAATGGTTTCTTGTCACACCCGGTTTTAAAAACAAAACCAAATGCAAATCACATGTATGCCAGGATTTGTTTATTCATACATGCGACGACAATATAGTGATACAAATAAATGTTTATTACAAAAGCGATTACATATTACAAAATGGCCAGAGGGTCTAAATAAAAATTACATCAAAGTACGAGCGAAGCAGGGTCTCCATCCTCGCAGGCAGCCGACCGAGGTACACCATCCTAGCATCGACACCGTCTTCAGGAAATGCCATCTTCTAGGGACTCTGTCTTCTAGTCTAAACTACTGGGTGGGGTAGCAAGGGGGACAAAGAGGAAAGATGAGGACATCAAAATGTACTCCACAAGTGTAGGAAAAGTATGACATGAGGGCCAACACAAGAATAGGCTTACAAGGTTTGACACAAGCACTTAAGTGACATATCCTATTTTTTCTTAAATCCTTAGCACCTATTTACCAGGTGAAAATTGCCTTCTCCTCAGGAACCATCTGAACCAACACTCAGATCCCATCCAAGCCAACTGTTGACATTTCTTAGCATCACTCTTTACTAAGTTGTCATCCCTAGCAATGATGCAAGAAATGCGTTGTTGGTAATTATTAATGACACTTGTAAATTTAGGAAAGATTATATATGTTGAAGTAATCCGCAAGCGCACAGATAATATACCATTGTAGCATTTCACCCGGGAGTATACCAGATATCGTTATTTATATTTTTCCATAGGGAGGAGCAATGGGGTGGCAAGAGATATTGACAAATATGCATACTTATGACAAGATAATTAACTCTCATGCTATAGCAGGGGTAAGTCAAATGATAAATAAATGATAAGTGTAAGGCATTGATAGTAATCCAGAGATAGAAATAGATTCTCATAAATGTAGTATGGCTATGCAGGAGAATAGTTAAGAACAAAAGATTCCTAAGTCATTCCTTATTTACTAAGTCTTTTGTACACCCAAGTATATACACTCTCATCTATAACATAATTAACTCTGTATCTATGCATAAGGAATATTACTAAGGAAGATCAAGAACAGAGCTTGTCTTCCTTCGCAACCGGGTTCTACTTGTTCTACAAACGGGGAGTGAACTACAAAGGACTCAACGGGAGTGTCACATCCGTGATCTACCACATGACCCAGAGTGTAGAATGCATTCGCAGGTAAACAATATTTAAGCACCACGCTTACATAATGTCGACCACTTAACTCACTCAAGTATTGAGCTAAGCGCTTTGCGAATATATGTATAAATTCATCATCAACCATGTCTATATCAAGCATATAACTAGACCAAACTAGGAACATAATAAATAGCAACATAATATTAAAGTAATACTATCGGGTTCATAAACCTAGGGTCCTTGATGGGCCAGCTTTCTAGCAAAAGCTTAGCCCAGCAGACGGCATTACAGCAACACGTGACTCCTGAGCCAGCCCAGATACCTAACGACAGGCTGGAAGAGCGATCTAGTCTCCGACCGGAAGGCCTGGCCAAGGAGGGGACGACGCTCGCTTCCAACTCCGACCCGCTTTTCCGACCGGGAATACGCCGAACCTCTGTTTATAGCTCTTCTCCAACCGACATGGTCGGAGCCGACTGGGAACGACCGACCGGGGACGCTCGCTCGGTGAGGACCCAAGAATCAGGCAGAGTAGATAAGGTAAGGCAAGGCGCTCAAGTCAACCACAATACCGAGGACCGTACCATGCACACCTGTAGGACAGTACTGCCAGGCCATGCCAGAAGGGTGCTATGCAACCTTCTAGACATGTTAGAACACAAATAGTGTTGTGGACGCCGACATTTGTCCTATAGTATGGTAGACGCCGACATTTGCTATACCAGACGAACACAATGGAGCCTCCCGCATGTATCTGGGCGTCAACAATATTGTGGGCGCTGACAATTGTCTTGTACCCAATGGAGTGGGCAATAAGACTAGGTAGCACACACACACTCTCTCTCTCTAAACTTGTAAAGCCGTCCCCTTCACCTATAAAAGGGGATGCGCTCTCTCCTAAGAAAAGGA